TTCAACTTTTCGTCATAAAAAAGACTCAAACAAAACGGAACTTTCGAAACATATTTGGAAATTAAAAGAAAACAATCAGGATTATACCATCAAATGGTCAATTTTAAAACACGCTATTTCGTATACAGGGGGATCAAAACGCTGCAGTTTATGTTTGGAAGAAAAATTTTGCATTTTGAAAGACATAAACAAAGACAATTTACTCAATAAAAGAAGCGAAATTTTCGGCAAATGTCGTCACAAAAACCGGTTTTGAGTAAACAAGGTCGTTAACAAAACCTAATGACCCAAGCATGCATTGTTTCACCTAAGCATTGTTTCGCCTACACGCATTCCGCACATTCTTTCGATAGCATAAAAGCAACCAACAATTTCGAAATTATTCACCACCTGATGATTCCTATACGGATGAAACAGACTGTTGTGGTTTTTTGAGGTAAAACGAAAAACTATATTACGCTCTATCTATATGGTATTGAGCACTGTTTGTGTTTCGTAAACCAAAATCTTAAGATATAGATATATATATATATATATATATATATATATATATATATATATATATATATATAGATATAGATAGGTATAGATAGATAGATATATATATATCTAGATATATATCTAGATATATATCTAGATATATATCTATAGAAAGACACAAAAACTTAGCAAGCTTTGTTTGGGATATTTATTGTATATAGTTTCGTACCACCTAAATATTGTGGCACTCCTCAGATAAAATACTGTAGCCTAATATTTTATCTGAGGAGTGCCACGTTATTTACATACATGGTACGAAACTATATTAATAATAGTACTAAATATGCCAAACAAAGCTTGCTAAGTTTTTGTGTCTTTCTATTATGCTCTGGTTATCCATTGAGCACTCTATCATTGGTTTTTATAACCCAACACAAACTATTTTATATATATCTACAGTGTATATACCTTTTCTGCTGCATCGACTTCGACTACTTCTCTCTCTGAAGTACCGGTATCCAATTCTACAACTCTTACTTGCTCAGGAGAAGCTTCCTCCATGATTTGAATGTATAAAAACTGCGAATAAACACTATTAATATTAATTTTATTCGATTGTTAGAAATTTTCTCTCATGCAATATTTCTTATTCATAAAATATAAAGTTGCTATGAAGGTGAACAAGCTGTAATTAAGCTAGTCTTCATTGCTTAATTAATGCAATGTTTGAAGTTTGAACTGATAAATAGATTCTCATAAAAATGTATGAAACCTCCTTAACTTATAATTACACACATGAATTTTTGTCAAATGAAAAGGAAATCCTGACGATTTTGCTATATAAACTACTGTTTTAACTAAAGGAATTCTACGTATAAATTCATCAAAACTATTATAATTACTTCATTAAACGAGAAATGTACCATAGACAGTATGGTATGCACAATAAAACCCTACTTAGCTCAGTAATTACCCAACTAAATTACATCAAACGTCCGAGATATTATATATATATACTGTAAGAGAGTTATTTTAAATAAAATAAAGTTGTCACAGAACAGGTATAGTATGCAAAATAAAACCCAACTCAACTCATTACCCCATTTAATTAGTCATACTATGCAGCAATGAAACATGGTTTGTTACTTGATGTGATGCTATAAGATTTACTTGTCAAGGTAAAAGCATTGAACCTTAGTTGGTCGGCTCATTAAGTTGTACAATGCCCCCTGCTACTTTGTTTTACTTTGTTTAATGTGAAATGATTTTACTTGACCACAGTAGGGCGATCGATCAAACCGCACTGGCCCTCAAAGGGGTTAATTAAGCTACATTTACACACAACGATGAATCAGGCCGATTTCTGGTTGTGCTGAATGTTAACCCATTAAGCGCCAGCGCTCTGCCCTTGACGAGTAAAATTGTCTGGCGTTAGACAGAGTAAAATACTAAAGTAGGGTGCATCAGAATGCAATGCGACTCAATGGTTAATTAATGATGAATGTTGTCAGTTGACATTGTATTTTTGGACCAGGAACTGGTCCCCAATCACTGCTAATCTTCTTCTTCTTGTTGTTAGGGGGTGACGCTCTTTGAAAAAACCCTCAGGCTCGTTTGATCGATCGGAATGAAACTTGACATAGTCATTCTAAGCAATATTCCACATCGATTGACAGTGTTCGATTTTTCATTTTTGACTTTAGAAGCAAAATATGGGCAATTTTTTACTGTATTCTTGGCAATTAATGTATACATATCATTAATAAGAAAGACATTGTCTTCTCTATTGTCCGTTGTGAACACAATCACAATAGTCTAAAGCTTCTCAAGAATGTGGACGACTAATTATAACAATTAATTATAAGCGTTAAGACTTAAGTTGACGCTGGCCTCGTTGCTCAAAGCGCAGAGGAGTACAAAGTACCTATCTGGCTATCATATAATATTCATAGTCATGCATAGCCGGAAAATCGTGAACCGTAAAAACAAAGACATGTCAATTTGTTTTTGGCGAAATGAACTGCATTAACCTATAGCAACAATTCAGATAATTTGTTACTTTAACTTAAGTTAAGTAACTTAAAAGTCCCATTTACACAGCACGTACACAACGGCAAGATTTAAATTTAGGCACGGCATGTTTAGTTCTAATATTGTTCTAATATATAACTTATCTAATTCGAATGTGAGTATATACTGTACTTTTGAAAACTGTGCATGTCATGCTTTGTCCAGATTTACACGGATTTATATATACACGGCATGCCTAGTCTAGACACATATTTTTGCCTAGTCTACGCTGCCATGTGGTTTGTTTACGTAATTCAGTTTCAGGAGTTTTTCTCGAGGGTCGAGGGCGGGAAGCAAGGGTCGAAAAATCATATATAAAACGTCGAGGGTCATATAAAAAAGTCAAGGGTCATCAGTAAAAAGTCCGGGGTCGTATTTCTAAAATATTTTATGGTTTTTATTGTCGAGGGTAGAAATTTGCGGACATTCCCCATAGATAAATTTGCAAGTGGGGCAAGCACGATAGCGAAAACAATACTTTCAAGATGGCGTCGCGAACCCGGAAAAGGCGTATGGCAATGGCAAGGTGCAAACAAGTCCTGATTACTCTGATTCAATAGACCATATAGTGAATAGACAATACAATAATTTGCGACATGCAATCCGAGATAACGCAGATAATGCACCACACCGTTTGAAACTATCTCGACTGTAGCTTTTGATCGGCATGTCTGTTTTCATGTAGTAATATTTTATCATATTAAAAGTAATCACATATAAAAAATTAATAATTGCAATTAAAAATAAGAGCTAAAAATTAAAACTAAACTAAATGAACACGAGCTAAAATTATTATTTTGTTAAATTATTAAAATGTATACCCTCAAGCTTTTCACCCTCGAATTTCTATACCCTCGACAATAAAAAAAAAAAAAAATATTTGTAAAATACGGCCTCCGACTAATAATATTATATACGACTCGATAAAACACTCCTACGCATGTTTTAAATAGAACTTTTAATAAAGAACTAGATAGCTTTTATTAGAGATAAAAGAGATATTTTTATGTTGTAAAATTTATGATCATTGCATATGTTTTTAGTCACCTGGTGAAGTGGTTACACTGTAGTTCTCCCACTTTTCCAACTTTAATATGCTAAATATCATGCATTAAAGATACCTTCATTGTCGTATATAAGCGTACGTTAAAGTAGCTTTGCGCTTAGTTAAGGCCCTGTACCCGGTGTGAACGCCTGAGTAGGCGTCTTGTTATGTATAAATCGCTACTTATAACACACGATCGCGACTTTTTATGTGAAATCGCGACTTAATATGTATAAATCGCCACTTACAACACGCAATCGCAACTTAGTGAGGATGATTGCCGAGCGATTACATATTGCAGCATGTAATTATGTATAGCCTTTAATTGCATCCAAGATGGAGGAAAACTATGAGGGCATATGGATCAGACGTTCAGGAAGAAGACGTTGAACTGATGCGTTGGAATTGTATATGTAAAGGTACAACATTATTTGTTATATATGTGTATGTGTAGTTGTATGTGTATGTGTATGTGCATGTGCATGTGTATGTAGTGAGTCAGAACTCCATATTTGTACGTCTAGTACTACGTGATTCTTATTCCCACGAGGGGAGTGCAAGATTCGTCCAAGCATGTCTGTGAGGAAGTGGAACAAACAAATATTGTAAAGAAATTTCAGTTTTGTTTTACATCCCATTTCCGTATTCAGACATCCCCGAATTCTCCCAGTTATCACAAGATATATAATAGGGCAATATGTACAATGAAAACAGCTTGCATGGACTACACACGTAAAAACGCACAAGCTAAGTTGTTACAGGTCTGCAAACAAGTTGTTACAAATCTGTTCACAAGCTGTTAACAAGTTGTGTTCGCACTGCTTGTTCCGAGTTGTTGTAACAAGTTTAGAACAAGCTGTTAACAACTTGTAACAAGCTTGATGGCATTATCAGACTTGTAGAAAAGTTGTTTTAACAAGTCTGATACAGTCATAATATAACAAGAATGTTGCAAGGTTGATAACACAAGGTTGTAACAATATATATTGTTATATCATGACTATATCGCACTTGTTGGAATAAGCTTGCAACAAGTCTGATAATATCAACAAGGTTGTTACAAGTTGTTTTAACAACTATTGAAATAGTTTGTTCCAAACTTGTTGACAACTTGGGACAAGCAGTGCGAAGATAACTTGTTGATAACTTGTTGGTAGATTTGCTACAAGATGTGAGACTTTTGCGTGTGTAGTCATGATCATATACTCACATGTACACTGAAGCAGCTTGCATGGGCTGGTAATGATCAGCTTATTTTAGCCAACCTCGCAGTTGCAATGAACGTGTACTCTCTTTTCTGCTGCAGGATGAAGACAACACGTGAGGATTTCCACCGACAAATGGGATGAATTTTCATTATTAAATACTTTTCCAGCATTTGTTATCTAACACTTACTGCTATATTATGCCATTTGACTACAGTCCAATTTTTACACAACAAGCAGTCGAGTGTAATGATTTGGTAGAAGAATACTTTAAACTTGGATTTGCTTACACAGAAATTCTTCTTTTTCTTCAATGTCGTCACGACATTAGACTGAGCATAAGACAGCTGAAACGCATTCTTAGAGTAAGAGGTTTGAAACGAAGAGGTAACCAAGAGAATCATATGAACGTAATAACAGCCATTGAAAGTGAATTAAATGGCAGTGGAAGTTGTGTTGGTTACCGACAAATGCACCAAAGAATGCAAATAAAGTATGGTTTTGTTGTGCCTAGGGAAACAGTGAGAATAATTTTAAAAGTTCTTGATCCATGAAACTAGGTCAAGAAGACGTCTCAGACGTCGAGAATACCGTGGTAGGGGACCGAACTTTATTTGGCATATAGACAGTTATGACAAACTGAAACCTTACGGATTTTCTGTTCATGCGGCAATCGATGGTTACAGCCGGAGAATATTATGGCTTGAGGTGTCTCCCACCAACAAAGATCCAACGTATATTGCTACAATCTTTGCCATTATACTATGGGACAATTTAGTTTTAGGAACGTTATATAGACAATATGCATTTTTTGCAGATAAATATCCCCCTTACCTCCCCCCACCCGTTTCAATGTTGCGTCTATGCCAGAAGACGTCTCGCTTGTGATATATTATTTTTTTATGCCAGCAACATTGAACAGGGGGCATGGGGGAAACTAAACATTAGCGGTGTTAAGACGTTTCTCTACTTGTCCCATAGTTTCTGGCAAAGATTGTCTGTAAATGCATCGCCACTAAACTTCTATGCAAGTTAAGGTTACTTTATGATTTTCGAGTTAAACACGCAGTTAGTTTGCATAATTTATTCATTACCTATCAGCATTTTGTTATATGTGAATAATTGCTGTTTTTACAGCGTCATTGCTATATTTAAAACGATTGTTTTTAAGCTTAGGAAATTTACATAAATTTGCGCAATGGCTATATTAATAAGATATTTATTACGTCATGATGGAGAAGTATAGTTGCGATTGATAACATTTTACGTTTCTTTCGCAGTGACTCAGAATTACACTAAGGTTACTCAGCTCGACAAGTACTTGAAAACAATTGCATTAAGCCTATCCTTGATGATGTGATATATCTGATAAAGGCATAATGCGTAACAACACGTCATGAGACTATAAATTGCAGCTGCGCGCTCTTGCAGGTATAGTAAGTCAATGCAAGCTGATTAATTCAATAAAAATGGTTTATCATGGTAATATTACTGATCAAATGCGTGCATACGTTCTTTATCTTGGTGCAAAGAAAAAATATTCCTTACGAAAAATTTCAGAAAAGGCCGGTGTTTCAAAATCAACTGCGTGTCGTATTTTAAGTAACAGCAAAAAGCAATCAATAACGGAGGAAAAACGAGGAAGGCCCAAAAAATTGTCACCTCAAGATAGACGCCATTTACTCAGATCATTGTTTAAGTTATGGGAATTTAATCCTGGCTTTTCAATTAAATCACTGGTCACCTACAGTGGACTTCATTTGTCAGGCATTTCGTACAGAACATTTTATCGAGAACTGCGCCGTGAAGGATTTCAGTATCTTCAAGCGCGGAAAAAGGGATTAGTGAGCCGAACGGACCGCGGTAAACGTCTAATGTTTGCGAGGAAATGTAAGCAAATTTTACAGATTGAGACCATGTTTTTCCACGAGGCCATTGCTTTCTATCTAGATGGTGTTTCATTCGTGCACAAGCCAAGGCCAATGGCGCAAATCTCAGCACCAAAGGGCAAAGTATGGAGGAAAAGAGGGGAAGGATTAAAGATAACAGCTAAAGGAGTCCAAACACCTAGCAGGGGGGGAAAGCGTTTGCATTTACTAGTCGCAATTGCATACGACATGGGAGTGTTTTGCATCGAGGAATACACGAAGATGAATGCCGTATATTTCAGTGAGTTTGCTAGGAGAAATTTCCCGGCTCTATTTCATGGACGAGAAGGCAGAAAGATGTCTGTTATGGATAACGATTAACGACCCTTCCCAAACTAGTGCAATGGCTATGAAAGCTATCGAAGATCAAGGTGCTCAGTTGTTCTGTATACCTGCTCGATCCCCGACCTAAATCCGATTGAAAATATTTTTCACATTGTTAAAAGCAATTTAGAGATGCAGGTTCGAGCACGGGGAATCAATCATGAAACATGGACGGAGTTCAAAGATAGAGTTTGTAAAACACTCTTGGACACTTCCGTAGATTATATAAATAATTTACTATTAAGTATGCCTAGACGCATCGACGCAGTAATCACTGGAAAGGGCTATAGAACCAAATATTAGTATATTTAGTTAGACACGTGACAAGTGAGCTGAGTGAGCGCACTAGGAAACGAATCTCACCCCTTACTTTTGCGATTTATATCGCTGTAATTGACTTATTAAGAACTTTTATTTAGAAAAGTAGCGATGGATGAATGAGTCCATACCTACAGTATAACTCTGCCAAATTTTAAAACAATTGAGAACGATATAAGCAATTGAGAGATGATTTTCATCAACGATTCTCACTTGCGCCATAAAATATAAGCAGTAAGATATCAAATTCATTTACAGTTATCGAGTGAGCTTCGTTGAAAATAGACTATGTTTGGTATATTTTTTAATGATATTAAATCTTGTTGACTATAATATTCTAATTATACATATTCTGTGATAAAAATTAGCAAATGCATAATGTAAATGATTAAAAAACTAATAAAACATTGTATTTTATGCTGAGATCCGTCAGTGAGCTTGGATCTATAAATTATTTGTTGACAGACAAGTACATCATTAAGCCAATTATCTCATCCTGTTAGTAAATTGTTGTTTGCTACAGCTCTACATTATCTAAGATGAGCTTGGCAAAGCAAGAACCACAACGTTTTATATGTTTTTGTTCATCTCTTGGTATTTGGCGATGTAATTTGAACATACGCCAACGAACATCCATAATTTCTGCGTTGACCCTATCCACACTCCCTCTCATAACTAAGGCAAGAGGGGCGTCACTAGTCGCAAAAAATGGGGTGTTCTTTTCTAGCACAATATATTTAATATCCTTAAAGTTTGATTGATTTTTTAACGTTGCGTATTTATAGATCTACAAGAATTAAATATTTTTAACGTGATGATAGTAACCTCGCCTACCCTCCCACATCCCGGAGTTGAAAATATTATGTTTGTAGCAAGTGAACTATTATGAAAAGCAAAACATACGATATTAGTTTAAAAATGACGATGTGTACTTTCTTAAACTACAGTAACGACCAACTGTAACATAACCGTAGATCGATCAGTGCGCACACCACAGACAATCTTTGCCATTATACTATGGGACAATTTAGTTTTAGGAACGTTATATAGACAATATGCATTTTTTTCAGATAAATATCCCCCCTACCTCCCCCCACCCGTTTCAATGTTGCGTCTATGCCAGAAGACGTCTCGCTTGTGATATATTATTTTTTTATGGCAGCAACATTGAACAGGGGGCATGGGGGAAACTAAACATTAGCGGTGTTAAGACGTTTCTCTACTTGTCCCATAGTTTCTGGCAAAGATGGTAGGTATTTTTTAGACTGCATTCGTCAATTAGGTGGTGTCCCAAGAGTCGTGAGGGCTGACCGAGGGACGGAAAATGTCAATGTTTGTGCGATTCAGAGATTCCTAAGGGCAGATTCAGAAGATTCGTTCGCTGGGGAAAAGAGTTTTATGTATGGAATGTCGACAAGTAACCAGAGAATCGAATCCTGGTGGTGTCAGCTTCGAAAAAGTAATAGCGACTGGTGGATGGAGTTTTTCAGAAATATGAGAGAAACCGGCGTATATGATGATAGTAATCCAATTCATGTCAACTGCATCGCCTATTGTTTTATGCCAATTTTGAGAAAAGAGTTGAATGAAGCTGTGAAATTCTGGAACACGCATTGGATAAGGTAATCAGCTAACAAAGAATCTCCAGGTGGAAAACCAGATGTTATCTATTCAATACCAGAACTACACAAAACAGAAAACTTTCTTGTTGATGTTACACTTGACGATGTTGATGTTGCAGAAGATCTGTGCATACCGCGCCACACAATTCGAGACTGCGATGAGAATTTTATTGAACTTGCTGATATTATTAACACTGAACATAATCTCCACGCTCCAACAACAGTGGCTGAAGCTGAGAATTATTATGTCACTCTACTAGCGCACATTGAATCTGTTTAAAGTGACACAAGGCAACAAATATTTTTACTATTACTTAGTATGCAAGCGCATGGCGTTTACGATTTATTAAAAATTGTAAACCTTTGACTCATACTACTCATATTCTCTATCAACTTCCACATACTAGAATTGAATAAGATACTTATTAGAGGTGTGCATCGGATCCAATTGGACGTTTATAATCCGATAATTGGCTAATGTTTAAAATCCAATCCGATCCGAAATTGTCTAATCCAAATCCGATCCGAGGTTTGATAAAGAATTCTGATCCGATGAATCCTTTAATAAAATAATTTCTCATTCAAGTGGAAATATTTAACAAAATAAATCTAAAAGCAAGAAATACATGTCAAGAAGCTGACAAAGTGCATGATTCATTGCATGATTCTGGACAATTCTTTTTATTTCGAATGTCGAAGTCCGATCCGATCCGTCCACGAAACAACTTTATCAATCCGATCCAATCTGAAATGAATATTTTTGTTCCAAAGTTCGAACAAATCCGATCGGAGTCGGATTTGCACATGCACCTCTAATACCTATTATACATAAAAAAACAAAGTCACGATGTTTAGACATTGTTGAAATCAGTGAACTTCCTTTAATATGGAACAACCTTAAACATATTCAGTTCATTAACTATAGTGTCACCACAAACAGTCAAACTGATTTGTTAACGTTTGTTTACGTTTCTTATAACCAAGAGAAAACCCAATGTGAATTAACCAATATTCAATATATTATACAGTTCATCTATCTGTTGCCAGTCAGTCTTCAAGGTCCCATTGTGACTGGTTTCTTAAATAGAAATCTAAATTGTCTTTCATGCTTCGAAAAGTATTATAACACTTTGGGAGTACAAGGATCTTAAAACATGTTTTGGATTTAGGTCGCATTGCAAGTAACGGCATTGCCTCATATCTAACAGAGATGCATTCACCGGGAATAACTACGCTACTCGCCGTGACGAATCGGACAAGGTTCCCCAAAACATCACCATCAGATTCCTTTACATATCGACAAAGCCATTGAAAAACTCTCTCCTCAGAACCATCAGCAGGTGTGCTTGACAAAATCTTTAATACATTTTCTTTTGATGGGTAGGTAAGCTGATACATCACCTCGATATGTGCACGTGAGATAGCCTTCCAAAATTGAGGCATCGTCTCCTGAATTTTCTTCAACGCTATGTATGGCTTGTGAATAAGTTCAGCCTTGGCCACTTGAATAATAGTGCTAGTGATGTTGGAAGGCGTGGGAAGAACACCCACTTCAAACTCTGAAAGAATATCAACAACTTCATTTTGGTCAAATTTTCGGCCGCTTAGAGCATTTGCCAAAATTTGTTCCTCACCAGGAGGAAGGAGTGACAAGAATGATTGCATCAGGCAATCATGATCGTTTCCAGCACTGCCTGTTACAATTTCTTCAAAGCTCGCACGAGCAAGCTGAATTGGAAACATTCCACACAGAAGGAATTGATGTGTGATTATTCATCCCAAAATTGGATAACGCTCCAGTGGGAAGTGCGGATGAACACGGAAGGTAAACTGACTATAGCCAATGCCATTTTCGGACAAAAAGGAATTCCAGAATAAAGAAAACATTTCTCGTTGAGGGCCACTCCCAGTTGCAACGGCATCAACAAAGCTCACAGATAATCTCTTTCTAATCAACGCTTCATCCTCGTACAGTTTGAGAACTTCTTCGACAATCTGATTCTTGTCGATGAGGGCAATACATGTCTCATGCATTTTGTCCAGTTCTGTTTGGCGAATATCTTGAAGTTTTCCGTATGTCGACATTTCCGCGTCATAACTTTGACTACTGTCATTTTCATCCCCCGATAGCAGTTGTTGTGGCGGAATACTACTTACTTGTTCCAGTTCAAACGAGTTTGTGTTAGTTACGACAGTGTCATCGGTAACTTCAAAGTGACTTGAGTTGCCCGCGTAAAAAAACACTTCCTTTTCATCTTCACTTAGTGGAACTGGAATTTCTCTCTCACTCATATTAAGAGTTGTTCTTTGTACTGTCTCACATTTAACGTCTGGAAAAATTAATTTCTTTGTTATTGCACACGTCAACGAAAAATGCTCTGGTTGAGCAGACAAGGAACCTATCCAGTCATATACTGCAGAGACTGACCATTCTTTTTTGAAAGACCTTGTTACAATACCAAAAGAAATATGGCGTACATTAACTAACATGTGGCTTGGATCATCTATTTCTACTTCAGGAAAAACTCTTGCTTCCCGAGATAAACGGAGTTCTTCACGCCGTTCTGCTTCTCTTTTCTGCCTTTCGTTTTCACGAGCCTTCTCTTGATCTGCTAATTCCGATCTTCGCACTTTGCCTTCAAGTTCTGTGAAAAATGAAGCTCTTTCTTCCGATGTGCCAATGAGCTGGCTTTTACTAGTAGGTTCGTTGAAAATGGGAGAGGAAATTTGTGGACTGTCGCCCATTGTGCTTTGGTTTTCTTCGTCAAAAAAATCATCCCAAGCAGGAAAATCATTTGATGTAGCATTCACCTTAAATACAAAAGCAAACATGATCAAAGATATAATCTATGTAATTATTTTTTAATTATAATTTAATTTTTATATAAAATAACGCTAATTGCTTTATTGTACATTTCTTGCACATAATTTATGTGTATTAAATTTTCCAAATCTAAAAAAAAGCAAACGGTTTTCCTGCCATGACATGCACACGCAAATGTGTGTGGCATATTTTTCTGACGCATAAACCGCGATGTGCAAAAAATAGCGCACATACCTCTGTCTCACTGTTGGTCACTTCAGTGATAGTCTTGTCTTTTGACATCAGATATATGCGCGCTTTTGAGAGCTTGTAACACTGAAAATACCCTTGTATGGTAAAAGGATTTTCGATTCCATCGTTATCTCTTAAGACATCCACTTTCTCCATTTTAAAGTTTGCAAGGTCAAATTCCATCTCATTTGCAAAACCAAACTTAGACTGTCCGTTTTCGAAAAAGATACCAATGGCTGCTTGCAGAACATTGTCTTTAGTGTATGCAGCAGGAAACTCCATATTTCTAGTTCCTCCCCCATTAGTTGCCCGTACATGAATGTAACGATCTTCCTTCTTATTATAATGTAGCCATCCAAGCTGGATTCATCTTGTTTTCTCCTTCATTTGTACAGAAGATCCCGTAACAACATTGGGGTTTTTACTTTTAGTACTAGTCTCTGCAACGTTTTGCTTCAGCCTAGTTTTCTTGCCAGACTGCAAAATAGCCATCAGCTTTCGCTTTCGTTCTTGTCTACAGCTTTCAGGAGTCTGCGTAAATGATCCTGAGGGCGTGCTTGAAGAGTTCCATCCTTGGCAATATGAGCGCAAAGCACAGATATCTCCTTTAACGCACAAGCCAAGATTGCATCGGGGTCCATCTAGAATAATGTTTTAACATTAGTACAAAAATTGTACATATTATAAAGATATCCATCTGTGATATGTAAAGTCTGGTTACAACTTTGTCTGTGTTCATTTGTCCTGAGTTTTTGCATCTGTCTGAGAGTAGGTCACAATTACTTAAGCTTTATATGACAATCAAATACAAAAATCTCTCAGGTTAAGGTGGCACGATACAAAGTTCACTTTTTCTAGCATCTCATTGGTGGAAAATGCCTAACCTCTTGAGCTAAAGCCGAGCTAGCTGAAGTTCCTAAGAAAATAGTATTTATAGTACGGTCATTTTAGTATTAGTAACACCGACCGTACTTTTGTTGACCATCAATAATAAAAAAAATTAAAAAGCCACGTGAAGTGCCATGTCAATGCGACTTCGAACTCCTTTACAAATAGCTTCATGTTGTATTTATAGAGTTGAGTTTTCAGTAAATTTCAAAAATAAATAATAATAATAACAATAATTGATTTAATAGATCGCATTGCAGCCAAAACTGAATTTATACACGGTATAATAAAACGTTTCATATGATAATAAAGCACTTTAATATTTACTGGACCCTCTGGAAAGCAGTATATATGTTTCATATTTCAGTATACAGCGAGACATAGCTATAGCCAGGAGATGCTGAGTTCCATCAGCAGTATTTTATCCTCATAATTATGCAATATATACAGGTATAGATATATAGTGTATATAGCGTGTATAGATATATAGTAAATATATATAGTGTGGGCTTGTGCATATTATCGACTTATAAAACTTGCATGATTGTGTTGTTTGTGTATATATTTTTTAGTAATTTTTTAGAATGAATATTTTTGTAAATAGAAACGGCCCCTTGAAAATCAGACTTACTTACCATTTTAAAATATTTGTAAATAAATAAATAAATAATATATTTGAAAATCAGAGTTTGGCGGGTTAGCATAGTGAAATATTTGTAAATAAAAACAATAACTTTGGGGTTAATATAATAATGAATAAGGTTTGGTCAGGATTATTCTAATCAATAATTACAGTGTTTAATTACAGCCGTTTACAGTACAGTACATACCTTTTCTGTACGAAATCGACTGATCACACTTGCTCTTACATTTCTTGATTTTAAGAAATTTAGAACCTATGTCAGAAAGGAAAGCATTCCTATTTCGTATACTAGAAAATATTCAATTTGGATAACAACTAATAACGCTGTACCTTTCCAACGCCTATGTGTTCAACGTCTTCTTCCTGGAAGTCATCCATAATCTCATCGTTTTCCTCCATCTTGGATGCAATTAATAAGGCTTTACATAATTACATGTTGCAACTTGCAATCGCGTGTTATAAGTCGAGATCGAGCATTATAAGTCGCGATTTCACATAATAAGTGGCGACCGCGTGTTATAAGTAGCGATTTAAACATAATAAGTCGCGATCGCGTATTATAAGTTAAGATCGCGTATTATAAGTTAAGATCGCGCATTATAAGTCGCGATTTCACATAATAAGTGGCGACCGCGTGTTATAAGTAGCGATTTAAACATAATAAGTCGCGATTGCGTATTATAAGTCAAGATCGCGCATTATAAGTCGCGATTTCACATAATAAGTGTCGACCGCGTGTTATAGTAGCGATTTAAACATAATAAGTCGCGATTGCGTGTAATAAGTAGCGATTTATACATAATAAGTCGCGATTGCTTGTTATAAGTCGCGACCGCGTATTATAAGTCGCGATTCACATATAATAAGTTGCGATCGCGCTTTATAACTCGCTATTGCGTGCCATAAGTTTCGATCGCGTATTATAATTGGCGATCGCGCCAATCTGCCGCAACTGCGCGATATATGTTGCGATTGCGCGTTATAACTGGCGATCATATTAAAAAGTGTGGTGTATTAATGAATGGCCCTAATGAGCCACGGTAGATTTTCATAGTTGGGAGAATTATTTTAATTTACGATGTCGAGTATTTATATATACGCGGCCGATTTTACGAGACGATTTAACAGCCTTTAATTAATAAACTTGAATTGTCTCTGAATAAGGATTACTGTCGGGCAGCTAAGATATCAAGCGAGCAGCTTTTATATTTATGTTGTTCTGTTCAACAACGAGAAGGCACTAAGTTGGGACTTCTCTGCTATGTGCTTCACAAAGATCATGGTCGTTATTTGGGTGGTAAAGCCAAAGGGAAAGTGTGCACTGCCGTGATAATGTATGAAAATATCCAAAATTATGAAACAGAAATTAATATATTGCAATGTATCTTGTATGATAAATGTGAAGTTGAAATATAACACGCTTTAATATATTTTTACACGCAATTGACTTACAACTTACAATGCGCTTTCGGGCAGCTTTCTTGCTGTATTTATAATTTATAAATGCATTGGCCATTATAAAAAGGGCCAGAATAGAGCATTGCCATTGGAGTGTTAAAACAATATCATTTGGATGATTTGCATTGCAATAATTGCATTAACGATTTGCGACGAATATCGTTATAATATACACTTGTATATACAGTGTAGCATATTTATAGCATATTGTAATTCGTTGAATAAAAATGCATTTTACAAAGTATAATTGAAATATTACTCTTTATTTTGCTTGCGAATTTTGATTCACAAACAGCGTGTTATATTGGATCGGTCATTGGTATCATATCACTTCAATTTGCGAAGGATTTCGAATCATGAGCCAAACTCAAAGGCTATTGAAAGTTGAAACAACATGATGTGTTTTATAATATGACCCTTCCTTAGTAAATCTAATTCCAAGGACTGGGAGAAGGCACGTTTGTGAGATCATAAAAAAGCATGTCCTTGATGTACTTTATAATCTTTGGAATTCTGCCAAATCTCACCGCCAAAACGCTTGAAATCGCATTTCAGAGACTTTAGATTTCAAAATTTTCTGGGGGGCATGCCCCCATACCCCCCTAGCATGTCTCACACATTTGTCGTTCAACTTATGTGAGAAAAATCCTAGATCCGCCCCTGCACTATAGTACGATCACACTTGTTCAAATATTGTTTACTTAAAGCTGAATCAGGCCGATTAATCTTTGTGTGTAAACATAACTTTAGACTGGGTTCTCATGACCCTAGTTGTAATGTACCTTCCTACATAACTATTTATTACCCTCCTACATAATGTATGTTCCTACATAATTTTACTCTGTCTAGTGACAGATAATTACACAAATCAAGAGCAGATCAATAACACATAATGGGAATGAAGTCAAACACGATCATATTGTATCAAATTACGCAATTGTCTGAACAAAAATATAGACTATTCATACCTTTCGCCGAAAATAACTTCGGCCCCTTCGAACATATCGTCTTTGTAATAGTCTTGTTAAAATCCCCATTAAAAACACTACTTAGAGTGTTATTTGCAAGCCTGTATCTTCAAATCTGTATCTTTTATCAATATATTTTTATTTCTTGCCCGACTGTGAGCTCGAAGTGAGTTAATCCCAACCGGAAATACGACTGAAAATCGTCAAAACAATGCGAAGCTTGTATTGTATGACCCTGCCAAGGCCAGAAATGAATTCGCAAGGTCAAATTGCACCTACACGCGTGAGTTTGACGTCATACCGGCCAACAGGAGCTTCTTATTGGCCAATTATTGCGCAATGTTCGCAAGTGCGAGTAAAACCCGATATCTTGAAAAATTCAAAATAAATATTTCTAGTCGGCGTATACATACGAAACTTTCTACACAAAAGCGCTTGAATACAAAGAGTATTTTACACATATAGCCGTTTAGCAAATGACGAAATGTTCAAGAGATATTCAAGATCTTGTGTATATGAAATTTAGAATCTTTGGCCAAGCGGTGAGTAAATATATGATTGTTTCGGTTTGTGTAATGTTCAGACGGCACTTGACCCCCCGTTTGAAAGGTTATTTTGTGAGGATTACAATGGTGGTATTTATTTATAAGGGGGGTAAATACTCGCCAAGATATTTATATTAGAAAAATTGTGTCGTAATATGATGCGAGAGGGGGTGGTCGAAAAAGAGTTAACCATGATAAAAGAGCTTGAACTGGCTGATATACCGCATTATTAGCTGCGTAAACACACAAATGTATCATGAATAATTTATAAATTTAAATAAAATGAATTTTAACTAACTTTTAACAGTATAAAACGAGGATTTTTATATTCCAACGATGTTGCCACATGTATTGAAATCAAAGGAAGATGCAGTAACTGCTCGCAGGCTAACGAAAGAATGCTAGCTAGTTCCAGTTCTTTTATCGCCAGTGAGGGTGCGCCACACCTGGGGTACAACTTTATAGGAAGAGGGTGCATTTTAAAAATCTCGGAAAAATTCAAGTGACCTTGTCAGGGTGTTTTTTAAAATACTAAATTAGTCCAACAATCAGTGTGTTTCTTAACACAAATTTAAATCTTAAATGGCTCCATTATCCATAAAAAGAGCCCTGAAAAAGTCGGTATGATTATTACGGGAAAAAGCATTGTTTTCCTCTCTCTTGTTGATATTTGAGTATTATGACAATAATTACTATGAGTATTGTACGAATCTGCACTCTTCTGACTTTAAAATCGATAAAGCGATTTTTTAGGTTACGAAAAGGACTAATTATGGTTACAAAAAGGATTTGTTCGTTTTTGTAACATTTCATTTTGTGGAAAAAACGTGAATAAAATGAAAAATATCGTACCAAAAATTCTGAAAAAATACTGCCCTTATTCTTCAAAAGGATGTTTAACTACATGTCAAAAATGAAGTTATTTAAGCCATAGATTAAAACGTTACAACAAAAATTAACTATCAAGAACTGTCTCGCTGTTGAAAGCGAGTTTAGAAGGGCAAAGTCGCCGCAAAAATGAGGTAAAAGTGTTCTACTCTCTGAGGAAATTTTTTGGCCTCATAACTTCGGAACAAAAGTCGGGGGAAACTTGTGGTTATTAGTGGGTGAATGCCTGTTGTATTAACCCCATATCTGCCGCAGTTTCAGAAAAATCCACAAAAAAATTGTACTTCCCCGGTCGAAGTCCTTTTTGTAACTAACGCTGTGTTTTTTTGTTAATATCAATAAAACAAGTAAGTCAAAAATGTTTTCGCTTTAATATGATAGAACTTGTGGTGTAGTGAAGCTGTTCACAACCGTATAAAAATTGTGCCATTTATTTAAAAGAAACGTTCGCTCTTTGAAAACCAAGTTACCAGAAGGTCTCTCTAAGAATCTAATGGTTGGTATATTATTTATTACAAACATTGGTTCACATGTTTCCAAGTTTGGTATATTGATTACCAACAGTGGTTCACATGTTTCCAACATTGGTATATTATTGATTACCAACATTGGTTCACATGTTTCCAACATGAATTGGCATATTTAATCATGCAATTACAAATTTTGTTACATTACGTTATAATTGGTTCACATGCATCTAACACTTGTTGGTTCTCATTCCGTAAATCTTGGAAATAAGCTTCAAACATGCACAATTAAGCTAAAAACCGTTTACCATAGTGCTTTTAATTTTAATTATGATGAACACTTCTACATGATCAACAAACAAAACGCATGATATATATTATGTACCATCAAACTTTCTTAATGTAAACAGAAATATAAATATTAGATATTAAATAGAGCATATATAATGGTATAGTTAGTTTCCACTGCAGCTGCTATAGAAGTTCATCAATGGCTGTGACTACTTTTACTTGTTTTCTCAAAATGTTCTTGTAGTTAATTATACCCTCTGATTCAATTTCAATGTGGTGAGCATCAATCAGTGCTTTGGCTAAGGGTATGACCATTTCATATTTCCCTTGCGAACGGCATTTAACTTTTAGGACTTTTCCTAATGGCAAAAGATGGTTTCGTATGGTAAGATGCTGCAATGACAGGACCTTAAACGTGGCCAACATGATAGAGCGTGCAGATTTTAAACTCAAGTCAGCTATATCATCACTCGGTTCATCATCGCAGTCACCTACAGTACAAAAAATGTTAAACCTTTACTGTGGATTCAGGTAGACCGTTTAATGCGAATAGTTGTCGCGTTAGTTTTAACAGTTGTACGATGACGTTTCTAGGCAGATTTTTGACGTTTCTAAGGCGTGGCTTCAACGTTTATTTTTAAAATTTGAACGTTGTAATTACAAGGTAATTGCTAAATAATATACTTCAAAATAAGGTTTCCGTTTTTATACTACCATTTTCGAGCTTCCGTGAAGCGTGCATTTATAACTAGGTTTTAAAACGTTTCTTCAGCATGAGTTTGTCATTCAAAACATTTTATTTCGCTCCTAAAACATTTTGTTTTGACATAATAACTTCTGTGGGCGTGGTATAAAACATATTGTTTTGCACGTGAAACTTTGAATTTCAGCGTCAAAACTCAAAAGGGCACTTGTATTACAGAGGTTTGTTACGTAAACATATCCAGAAGGTGCTATAAATCTGTTATTTCGCTTTCTATAGCAATTTTGTCAGTATAAAGTCAGTCCGTGTGAAAAATAAGAAGAAATTTTCGCGTGCAAAACAATGTGCTTGACACCACGCCCAGAAAAGTTATTATTGCAAAACAAAAAGTTATGATTGACAAACTCATGCTGAAGAAACATTTTGAAACGTAGTTATAATTGCACGCTTCATGGAAGCTCGAAAGTGGTAGTATCAATTTTTTAAATAAGTTAGGGTTAGGTTAGGGTTTAGTTTTGCGTTAGGATATTTTTTCTACGTTATAAAAACGGAAACCTTATTTTGAAGTATACTATTTAGCAATTACCTTGTAATTACAACGTTCAAATTTTAAAAATAAACGTTGAAGCCACGCCTTAGAAACGTCGAAAATCTGCCTAGAAACGTCATCATACAACTGTTAAAACGAACGCGACAACTATTCGCATTAAACGGTCTACCTGAATCTGCAGTAATACAATAATACAAGAGACCTCCTGTTTATTGCACTTTCTCAAAATGTCTCGTTTCCGTACATTTTGTACACAGAAGGGTAAGGATTAGACATCATGAGGTTGGGTTTAAGATCAAAACATGGACATATAACCTGTCTGCCAGCATTCTAAAATAGGCAAAACATGGAAAATAGGCCATTGGGAAATTGCAATAAACAGGTCTATTGTTTCTATTCCATCATTAAATCTGTACAGTAAGTAAGAATTTCAATCTACAAGCATTTCCTACCTTCAGTCTCTGAGCTTTGCACAGAGTCTGTGCTCCATGTATCAGAGCATGAACTGTTTGTGCTATCTTCACTTTGTTTTGCCCGCTTTGCCGGTATATGGGGTATCTTTAAGGGGAGAAATCAAAATAAACTTTCAGCGCTCAAGGAGTAACATCACACTACACAGTATGATACGACTATATGCAGTATGCACATTAGCAACTTGCACATTAATCGCATACCATGATAATAACAGAAAGTGATCAGTCACATGACAGAGAGAAATGGACGTACTAACTAAAAGTGATTCAAATAAGTTTACCTCATAATTGTATCCATCGTCTATTTTACGATTCTTCTCATGGAACCACTGTAGCAAATGATGCTTAATTGCTTCTACAAACAAAAAGGTACACAGTATGACATATAGTAATTGCATACTTGTGATTTTTTTACAAATTACTAGCTACAATTATACAATTTTCCTGTCGATCCAATGATTGAATTCCAGTAATTCCTCATGTTGAACATGATATCTCACTCTTTTGCTGTGCTCACTCGTGAGATATCATGTTCAACACTCAAAATAAATCTGCGCACCCATGTATTATTCTCTATTTAACCGCTAGCACGCTTTTAGGAGAGGTACTTCTTTTGAAGGTTTAGTTGAATTAATTGGGGATACTTCTTTCATCAGTGCAAAGATCAATTTCGTAAAGAGCATTTAAATAGCATTTCTGTTTAATTTTTTTATACTTTTACGAGCTCTGTTTAACTCTTTCTCAGCACCCTGGACGGCAGCAGGTTTCGCATTACATTACGAGACAATGTTTCTAATGTAAATATCTTGGCGAGTATTTCCCCCCCCCTTTAAAACAAAACGCACCATTGAAATCCTCTCGAAATAACCTTTCGAACGGGGGGTTAACTACCGTCATAACATTACACAAACCAAAACAATCATATATTTATACTCACCGCTTGGCCAAACATTCTGTTCGACATATCGAGAAAAAGTTGAATATTTTCTAAACTTTTTGTCATTTTCTAAAAGCCTATATGAGTAAAAGATTCTTTGTATTCAAGTGCTTTCGTGTAGAAAGTTTCGTATGAATACAGCGAATAGAAATATTTATTTTGAATCTTTCAAGGATATCAGGTTTTACTCGCACGTGCATGTATTGCATAATACTTGGGCAATAAGGAGCTCCTTTAGCCGGGATGACGTCAAACTCCGCGTATAGGTGCAATTTGACCTGTAGAATCCATTTCTGACCTTGACAGAGTCATACGATACAAACGTCGCATTGTTTCGACACTTTTAAGTCGTATTTCCGGTTTGGATAAAATCAAACTCGGACCAGAAATGTAAATCTGGTAATAAATGGCTAGAATTTACAGATAGAAGGTTGAAAATAACACAGTATACAGCATTTCGAGTGGTTAATCGAACAAGAGTGTCACAATGAGCATACATCTCAAGCGGCCAAAGTTATGTTCGGCGAAAGGTATGTTTATGTTTATAATTTGTTAGTAATATTGCATAATTTGATCATATACGAGCTCGCTTGACTTTCAAAGCTCATAAATCGCTATAATGTTGTCATTGACTGAATCTATTGTTATGAATAAGTATATATTTTTACACTGAATCGAATGGTGGTATTTTCAACGACATAGCGTTTATTGAATCGAAGATATGAACGAAAACATCCATAGATCCTGCACGTTCTACGCGTGTCTGGAGGAGGGCAGGCAGGCAGAGAAATTAAACATAAGGTCATAGAGTACAGATACAGAGATCGTACTCCTTGTTGGCACCTTTGATGCATGTTTACATAACTGCTGCCATGTTCCTAGCCAGTGTGCTAAGGAGAGACTGTTATCCTCCAGAAAACATTCAAAATGACAGGGGGTGAATGCCTCTCATACCTATTTTTATGTGGTGCCATGCCCTATATTTTTACGTATATTGTACTCACCCCTGCCAAATCCAATCTCTGGTATACTGCAAATGGGAACTTTTTGGGTTAGGAACTCCTCCATCTTAGCTAAGTTGCCAGAGTTGCAAAATCAGCATATATAATTTAAAAATTCAATAATAATTCACAAGGAAAATACAAAAGAAATGAATGTTTAATCAATGTTTGTAAATCAGATAAAGATTTGTCCTGATTTACATAAAATGCAGTTTTGATTTTGTCTGCATAGACAATGTTTATTTTTAAAATTACTTCGACCACCAATGAACCCAGAAGATGTCATTTTTCTTGCCTTCGGCTCGAGTTTGTATATCAGATACAGATCGGCTGCTCATGTTTTATCTAGTACTTATAACTAATATAAATATTGTAGGAATAAAAACTGAAATATTTGGACTGTTATAGACCAATTGTTACTGGGTAACATTTGTTGTTTTTTTCTTTCCTCAATGAACTGTACATTGCTAAATTCATCTCGTGTTAGACAGAATGAGTAAACAACAAGGTAGGGTACACCAGGGGACATTGTTCCTTTATTGGGTTAATTTAAGTTTCAATGCATAATGTAACAAACCACTGTGCTTCAATGGCCGGGTCATTCCAGAAAACACCCATACCCCCTTCGGATGTCCAGTCCTTACATTTACTGTTATCAGAAACAATTTTGTCTCCCCTGCCCCTCCGGACAGCAGAAATTTCCTCTGTGGGGGGAGTGTGAATCTTTTCTGGAAAATCCATGTACAAAGCAGACATAACATCATTACTCAAACTAGATCGCATAAAACCTCTCGCCAAGTACAGAGTTCTCGGTGGCGCAGTTGGTTAGTGTGCTTATCTAGAAACTAAGAGGCTGCAGGTTCGATCCCTGCTCTGAGCAATACTTACTTTGTAACACACAGTACTTACTTTGATAGATACATAGCCTTTTGTTTTGGGTTCATAATGTTTCTATCATTCTTACTGATTTTAGTTTTCCACAAAACTGTGCTTTCTATCAAATATATATCACAGACAGAACGGAAACTACATTCACCATATTTCATGCAAATTTATGCATAAATTCACTTTCGTATTTCTAAACAAGACTTACCATTGCTATTTTCTTTATTTGAATGAGCCTCCTGATCAACTGCCTGTTGGTTTTTTGAATGAAGAGCTTTTATCTTTTCAAAGAGTTCCAACCTCTTTCCCATGACTATATCCATGTCTTTCAAGTCGCTTTTCTCGAGCAATAAAATACTTTTCCCAGTATATTTTGTGCTGTTGATAAGAAATCAAGAATTGATAAATCACATATGGTCATCAGTTCTTGCCAGCGTATGGAGTATTACAGTAAATGAATATACCATATTTTCACAAATATGTGACATGCCTTCAAATTTTCCAACTTCCTCTTCAAAGCCTTCTTTTATAAGCCATAATTTTACATGTTCAGTTGTCCACAGGTTAACATCACCAGGTTGTACTGTAGCTTGTTCTGTATCAGTGTCAGGATCTTGTGTATCTATTAACAAGAATTATATGAAAACTGTCAACATACATGTATATTAATTGATACACAAATGTACACATTGTTATTAAAAACGCATGCACCACACAAAATTATGTAGCGTATTATTATTCCCAAACAAACGGTGTAAAGCGCCATTTATAAGGGCAAAGCCTGTGGCAAGGTCAACAATCAACTCCAAAAATGGTTGAAGTAATTAGTTTTGTTTCTTTAAAGTGCCTATGACACGAAATTTCACCCCAAAGGTTTATGGTTGTATTGTAAAGATCACTTAAAATGACTTAATAATTTCTTTTATAGAATTTTGGTAACTTGCTCCATTTTCAAAATATTCAACTTTGTTTCATATGCAAATATCACCGGTGTGACATCACATCACATAATGAGTTTTCAGAAAAGTATAGTTTTCTTGACGAATACGTATCTAAAATACTTCAAAATTGCCCTTGTATATGTATTAATTTCATAACTGGTAATTAACCCTCCCAGCGGGCACACGACGTTGTTTCAACGTTGAATTTTGGTTGAAAAAAGGTCGCGACGTCAACAACCTCATATCAACGTCGCCCTGACGTCGTTTTGCAAACGTTGGTTCAACATCAGCAAATAGACGTCGATTCAACGTTGATTTATGGTTAATTAGACGACGTCAATATGACAACGTAATTTCCACGTTGTTTCTACGTCACATTACAAACGTTGATTCAACATCACGTTACTGACGTCGATTCAACGTTTAATTATGGTTGATTGGATGACGTTAACATGACAACGTAATTTCAACGTTGTTTCAACGTCACAATGCAAACGTTGATTCAACATCACGTTACTGACGTCGATTCAACGTTTAATTATGGTTGATTGGATGACGTCAACATGACAATGTAATTTCAACGTTGTTTCAACGTCACAATACAAATGTTGATTCAACATCACTTTACTGACGTCGATTCAACGTTTAATTATGGTTGATTGGATGACGTCAACGTGACAACGTAATTTCAACGTTGTTTCAACGTCACAATACAAACGTTGATTCAACATCACGTTACTGACGTCGATTCAACGTTTAATTATGGTTGATTGGATGACGTCAACATGGCAACGTAATTTCAACGTTGTTTTAACGTCACAATACAAATGTTGATTCAACATCACTTTACTGACGTCGATTCAACGTTTAATTATGGTTGATTGGATGACGTCAACATGACAACGTAATTTCAACGTTGTTTCAACGTCACAATACAAACGTTGATTCAACATCACGTTACTGACGTCGATTCAACGTTTAATTATGGTTGATTGGATGACGTCAACATGACAACGTAATTTCAACGTTGTTTCAACGTCACAATACAAACGTTGATTCAACATCACTTTACTGACGTCGATTCAACGTTTAATTATGGTTGATTGGACGTCATAGTAGAGCCCAGGTTCCACACATACCAACACCGTCACGGACAAACCCTTCATTTCCCGCCAGTCGTCAGGTTGAAGCTTTCTCTTTTTTGTCAACTGCAATTTATACGTCGGGAAAATTATATATGAACAGAAAATAAACGAAGTCAAGGAAGAACTAATTTAAACAGGTTAGTTAAACTGTGTTCTATTATCTCCTTGTTCCATGGGGTATATAAAAATCCAAAAATTCAGCCAAAGGCCAAGCTTGAAATGTACAGAGTACAGTAGTGTACATGCTGTCATTGAAAGAAAATTGTCATGGTTTATACAGTGTTTTAAGAATGATGTTAAGACGTTGATATTCAGTGGACAAAGAGCAATTGTCCCCTACACTATTTGCATATTTTGGCCTTCGAGACATTAAGTATTAAGCAGTAAAAATGGGGAACTTTTTACTGTGAAAACAGTGAAAACGATGCGAGCTTCTACAAATTAACATTTGCTTTTAATAGCAAAATTATTTATTAGTATTATTTTACTCCAATATGGTGTCTTCCTAATGTTTTTTTCTAATGTTATAATAGCGTACTGGGATACTTTTACAAATATAGTTTTGGAAATTACATGTTTTTGCTTGCACAAAAAATCAAAAACAAATAGCCTTGCCATTTGCCTTCGTTTCAAACCGGGCCACTGGCCTATATATATGAATTGGACTGAGCAACCTTGGATTGCAAACATGTTAGCCAATTTTTGTCTTGAATATCACTAGTAATAAATACAGTACACTAAAAAATATAAATGCTAGCTGTATATGTCTATCTTAAAGTTGGCTTTTATAAACTATGGCAGGTATTTTAAAGAAAAACCTTATGCAATGGGAAAATTAATTAAAGGCCTTGCCCAAGTTAATTAGGAATATAGGCTCTGAATAGCCTCTGAAAACACCTGTGTATTAATATTGCCTTGAAGAAATTACCATAAATGCAAATATTCATCAAGGGGTATAATTAATACCCTTTAATAAGTGACATGGGTTAAAGTGGTAGTCAAATCATGCCACTCATAACTAGGTAGGATTTATTCAAAACATGGGCATCAAGTATATGGACTTCAAAACATGGGCATCAAGTATATGGACATCAAAACATGGGCATCAAGTATATACTCCAGCTGTAGATATATTTACGGGAACCACTCAGTATTTTAATAAAATACAAAATAACAGTAACTCCAAATAACATTTTGATTTTTAATCGACGTTTCAACCAGTTTTCAGTCATCCTCAGAAGGATGGCCCTTCGTGAAGAGTTAGTTGACACTAGGGCCTTCGCTCAAAATGTTGAGTTTCTGCTTATTTTTTAAGGTAGTAATATGACCACTCAGCACAGCATTTTTACCCCTGTAGACTTGGTTTCTACTGACTGTATAATTATAAGCCAGGCTAAATCTATGTATTCTTTTGTTTCTATAATTAATTATAAGTGTTATGTAGGAGATACAATTAACTGATTAATTAGTGCTTTCATACATGAGCAATCAGATCATTACCTTTAGTCACAGAAAAGTGTAAGCAAAAAATGTAAATCACATTCATTTGTAGATTATGCTTAATGGGTTAATATATTAATTTTAATTTTGTTTTTTAATTAAATTAAATGTTAAATAGGAAAATTTCTTGCTTTATGTTTCTTTGTGTTACTGTATATTATAAAACAAATATAAAACATTTTTTCCATATTTATATAATACAGTTATATCAACATTCATGGAAATTGGGAAAACTCGAAATTGTGTGAAGACACTTGCTGCCCTCCAGAGGTTGTGTTTCCACACAATTTCCACTTGTGTTGACATAACTGTATATCAACACAGAAAATTTTTATATTCGTTAATAAAAATAAAAATAAATTGTTTTATATTCGAGTAAAAAAATAAAGTAGGGCGCAACTCAACGGGTTAGACACATGGGCAGATAGGCCAGTTAATCGGCCATCAAGCGCTAGCGCTCTCCCCTTGACGAGTACAATCATCTGCCGTTAGACAGAGTAAAATAATCTGGTGTTAGACAGAGTAAAATAATAAAGCTGGGTGCATCATGTTAATTTATGGCAATTTGGTGATAAAAGAATTGTTACTGACAACAAATTTTTTAAGTACAAGTGTGAAATAAAGTGAGAATTAAAAGTATTGTTTTGAAAGTATATGCTTGCAAGCTGTTTATATCATTCCAAAACAGATCTAAAGAGCTACAGTAATCATAGAAACGTGGCTGATCAATAAACAATATTGGACAAAGGGCTTACATTTTCATATCTACAACAGCAAATGTGATTGCCACTATTCAGCGGTTGTTTATACTGTATGATCTGGGACAAGATAAATTGAGACTGGAAGATTTTGATGCATTAATGAAATAAGTCACAGTGTATATGTTATTATTATTTTTCTAGTGATAGATTGTATAGTGTAGTTACAATGTAAATGAAAGGTTTTGTCAAGCAGCAATAATAATAGTTTTGAACTAAGAGATCTTTGTCACCAACATTTGAGTTCTTTTAACTGCTTTTCAAACTTTCGTTTAATGCACCTACAGTACATGCGGCTTGCCCCATTAAACCATATAGGGAATGCAGAATCTATACACAGAACCATGTTTAACATTTTCCTGCAATGCACCACGACGGGGGGAAAATCAATTTCCCCGGAAACCCTGCCTATCTTCAACTTCTTGCGATTCCATTTTGCAAACTTATTTCCATTTTTCAACAGTAATGATCCTAAAGTTAACTTCTTATTAACAGAATGCAAGGTCTGTACAGAGAAATATTGGTTCAATATTTCTCTGTACATACCGAGCAAGCAAGGCTAATAAAATTTTATCATATGGACTTATAGGCATTTATACTTGAAACAAACAAGAATGTATATTTGAAACGCATATTAGTAGCATGGTGTACATTTGGTTGAAGAAAACAAAAAATACCAGTATATATTCTTTGTTATTAATAATAGATAATCTTATTAATAACAATTACAGTAGGTTTGATGTTTTGTTTTAAAATGAAACTGTTTCTCAGCCAATCACAGTCTGTTATTTCACTGGAGGTGATGCTTGCTATATGATAATGTAAAGTTTAGTAAGCAAAATAATAAACTGTGGGGAGCCTAAAACCCAGTGGCCAGCAGCTTATTGTAGCTGTTGCTTGAATGGTTACAATCAAGGTTACAATTTCCTGACCCTTGGGGCATGTAGTTTCTAAAATGTTTAAAAATGATCCCCGTCCT